AATAAAATATTTTTTGTTTTTAAATTGCCACTAAGAATAAAATGTGGTTGTTGTTGTTTTTTTTAAGAGGAGCTGGCCAAGAAGGTGGTAGGAATTGCAACCAATGTTACATCACAGTTTTGTCAAAATATTTTAAGTTGCCAAAACGGATTGGACTTATTATACTCTAGGTACAATAACGTAGTCAAAAATGTTTATAGTATTTATTATCTAAGACCAACTTCAAATCTGCTATGGTTCTGGAGCTCAGCAAATCACATCAGTACCATTAGCTGCTAGCTTCATGAACTCGGGAGGCTTAGTCCACTTATTGATTTCAAAGCCACGTTGATTTACGTTGTATTTCTTTTCTGCATTTTCCTTGTAGATTGGAGAGCAAACAAACAAAGATGAAGCTGTTGTGGGTTGTGATGCTGGTGGTCGGCACAGTGTTTGCCGCCAACGATGATGATAAGAAGGACAACGTGGGGACTGTGGTTGGGATTGATCTGGGGACCACATACTCATGGTAACAAGTCACGTTAAAATCTTTAAATAGTGACATGATGCCACTGTGGAATAAAATGGCATTCAGACTAAATTCAAACTGTTTTCTTGCAGTGTTGGAGTGTTCAAGAATGGACGTGTGGAGATTATTGCCAATGACCAGGGAAACCGAATTACCCCCTCCTACGTGGCCTTCACCAGTGAAGGTGAGCGTCTGATCGGTGATGCTGCCAAGAATCAGCTGACCTCTAACCCTGAGAACACCATCTTTGATGCCAAGAGGCTCATTGGTCGCACATGGGGTGACTCGTCTGTGCAGCAGGACATCAAGTACTTCCCCTTCAAGGTGAGCTTGTAAACTGAAAGTAGAACTTGTAGTTGCTTGTTCTTTGGGTCCTGTTTGAGTGAAGTTGTTGTTAAATTAATATTGATGTTTTTTCCTCTGAAGGTTACTGAGAAGAAGAGCAAGCCCCATATCCAGGTTGACATTGGTGGTGGTCAGATGAAGACCTTTGCTCCCGAGGAGGTCTCTGCTATGGTGCTGACTAAGATGAAGGAGACTGCTGAGGCTTACCTGGGCAAGAAGGTACAAAAAGTCAGAGATTGTAAAACAGTGAAAATGTTAATTTTAATTAAATGGTGTATCATCAAATCTAACTTGATCCTTTTTCCTCAGGTCACACATGCTGTGGTCACTGTCCCCGCCTACTTCAACGATGCCCAGCGCCAGGCCACTAAGGATGCTGGTACCATTGCTGGTCTGAATGTTATGCGAATCATCAATGAGCCGTAAGCATCCAGTCAAAATGAATTTGAAACTCCAAAGAATATCTCTGCACTCCCTTCTAATAAACTCTCATTGTATTCTTTAGAACTGCTGCTGCTATTGCTTATGGCCTGGACAAGAAGGACGGAGAGAAGAACATTCTTGTGTTCGATCTGGGCGGTGGCACCTTTGATGTCTCTCTTCTGACCATTGACAACGGTGTTTTTGAAGTGGTGGCCACCAACGGTGACACTCTCTTCTAAGTGGTAATTAAAAAATAATCAACAAATAAAACATATTTCAAAGTCACTCGGCATTTTTAAATATTATTCTTTCCTTTTTCTTAAACACCGACTACTTCGTGATAAAAAAAAAAAAAAAAGTATTGTTGAAAATGTAAAAAATGATCATGCTGACGATAGACGTTTTAACCTTCATATATAAATCTGTGACGCACTTGCCCCTGTTGTCAGTTTAGCTCACTCCGTTTAGACGCACCAACATGAATCCCAGTTTGAAGCCGCCGGTTCGAGTCTTACCTTCGCGAATTTGTAGTTGAGGTCTTGAAAGCGTCTTTTTTACAAAATAAAACAGTATAAGCAGCGATAACCTCCAAAAGTTCCAATACTGTGAAGCAAACTGTGTCTATTTTGTCTATTTCACATAATTGCATCTGTGAAATCGTGTATATATAGAAGCCTTCATAAACAAGTCGTCACGCTTTCCCGGTTTTGAGGCTCGCTATTGGTTGAGCTGCTGTTTGGTGGAAGGCGCTGATTGGTTTCGTCTAGCGCGCTGGCTGCACCTGATTTGCACATATCAGGTTTAGGCGACGTCACCGTTTGTGCCGAAGTGTGAGTGTGTGAATGTAACGCCACAAGTATGTAAAAATAAGTGAATGTATGTATAAATGTATAATTACCTCCGCCAAGGCAGTTATATTTTTGTCAGTCTCCCACTTAAAACTTTTGAGTGAAATCTGATAAACCTTCGTAGGAGTGTAGTGTGAGTTCATGTTAACAACACATTAAAATCGGCCTTGCATACACTCAGGTCTTCATTGTAAACTTAATGACCTATTGGTCTATTGGTGGAAAATTGCCAAAAGCCTTATAACTTAGACTCTAAAGATTTTAAATGTCATACCAAATTTAACCTTTGACCTCTCTTTCAAGTTCAAAAGATTAATCTGAAAGTCAGAGGGATAATGCTACATGGAGATATTTAAAATGATAATAGGTTTTCAGGCTGCCAAGAACATGTTGAGGTGGGACACTTTTTGAGTATAACTGATTCATTTTATTATGACTTTCTTAAGTATGTTACAGTAACAAATGATAATCGTTTAAATATATAGCAATAGGCATACATGTACAATGTTCCTAAATAACTATTATGTTTTTACAAAAACTAACTTTTTTCACTTGATAAATTATCGCTAAACATTTAAACCATTTTTTCTAAACATTTCAACAAATACAATACAAAATAGCCTGTTGCAGAAACACAATTTTTGTTCCAATTTTTTTCAGTTCCTACTACAACTACCATAAATGCCAAATATATCACAGTTTGACAGACAAAATTTTTATTTTTGCACCGACAAGATGATTCCCAAAGAGCTATTAGGTGAAAACGTGGCATATGTCTGCATGGTTTGTAGATTGTTTATAAAATATCAGAAGAAAATGAACAAGTGGAGGACCAAAATAAAAAAAAAATTCAGGCCTAAAAATCTACCGCAGGTGAATATTGCCTGAAAGTCATGACCTTAAGAAACAGGAAAAAATCCAGCAAACACCTGACACAGGACCTGAGAAATGCATCTAGCTTTTCAACTGATCCATCTGCTGTTTATTGAAGCCTCATCAGAAATGGTCTAAGTTGAGGGGTGGCTCTCAAGAAGCCATTCTTAAAGAAGGGAAGCAGGGAGAAAAGGTTGAGGTATACCAAATAACACAGGTACTGGATTGAAAATCAGTGGCAACAGGTCTGTTGGAGTGATTAATGAAAAAATGAAATCTTTGATGTAAATCCTCATCGATATGTACAGAGAAGGACAGGACAGAGCTACAACAGAGAGAATCCACAGCCAACTGTAATACACAGTGGAGACTATGTTATGTTTTCGAGGAGCATTTCAGACAGTGGCGTTGAAGCTTTTTTTTTAAACTGGTGGAATTCTGAACGCAGAAAGGTACAGTCAGATTTTGATCCACCTTGTTGAAAGCATCTAATTGGCAACGGCTTTATTTTCAGCATGACAGTGATCCCGGTATACCTCCAGTGCAGTAAAAGCAGACCTGGATTTAAAGCACACAAACAATGGAACACAACCAGTCATTGATTGGCTTCCCCAGTGCCTGGACCTCAACATTATTCAAGCAGTGTGGGATCATCTTG